TATGTTGGACTGGCGGGTCAGGCCCTGGGTCTTGTCATACACTTGAACCCTTTAAAATTTTATCATTCTGCTATCAGTCATGTCTAAAAGACTTGTTACCAGAGAAACATCGGGGAGGTTGCAGAATATAGCCAAAATTCCAAAATTGCCAAGTGTTTAAAAAAGCCAAAAATTTAAAACTTGATACTTAAAAATTAAAAATTAAACCATACTTACGGTTTTCTGAGAAAGGTTCAACTCAGCCACTTTGACGCATCAGATGTGGTCTTTCTCCTTGACCTAACATGGTCCCAGACCACTTTGAACTGCTCATGCTCAGCTGCTCCCTTAACAAGTGCTTTCGATGAGAGAACACTGTCCGGTGTTAAGAGAACCCAGTGTGAGTTCTCAATGTCTGTGTCCATGTACCCCTTGCTCACCTGTCCAGATCCTCCCAGGAACTTCTTGACAGTTTTAACAGCCTTGTACTCAGACTTATTTACCATCAAGAACTCTTCCCAGTAGGTCTGCAGCACCCTATTCTCCTTATCTTACCTTGGATCTGTTGGCTGGTCACTTTGCCTGGCAGCTCCTCAAACACTGTCCATAAGCACTCCATAAACTCATCTGAAATAAAGGTAGGTCTCCTAGGTTCCAGGGCAGGTTCCACAGGGGCAATGTCCTGAACCTGGGCAGGTTTAGGATCACCACCTTCATCACCTAACACAACATCATCATCAGCAGTGTCCTGGGTGGCAAGGTCAGAATCACCACCTTCATCACCAATAACAATGTCATCATCAATGGCATGTTCAACATGATCATCATCAGCAGTGTCCTGATCCTGGGGGGCAGGTTCAGGATCACCACCTTCATCACCATTCACAACATCATCATCAAGGGCATGTTCAACATCACCAGCAGTGTCCTGATCCTGGGGGGCAGGTTCAGGATCACCACCTTCATCTTCATACACAACATCCAGGAACTGAACAGGATTGAGTTTTTAGTTTCTAGGATAACGCAAATTCCTCACATGTCTCACCATTGCATCCTTTCTTGCAAAGGTTGTGTCACACCCAATAACTGCACAAGAAATTCTAGTTTTAGTGGGAACTGAACTAGGACTTACACTTCTTCCTTCTCACCCTCTCCAAGTTCCCTGCAGCACTCTCGACCTTCTCCAGCTTCCTTCCCTGCACCCTCTCTCCTCCTTCAGAACTCTTTCCACTCCTTCTCCTCTTCTGCTCTGGCTCCAAGAGAAGATTATCTGACATAATCTTCTCAACCACTCTCTCCTCACTGCTCTGCTTCCTTGCTCACTTGAAGCCAGCAGCCATACTTCTCTCACTGCCCCTCTCCTCCTTCTCTCTCTTTAGCTGCACCTTCTCCTGCTTCTTCTCCACTCTCTGCTTCTCCAACTCAAAGCACTCCTTCCTCACCTTCTCCTTCATCTCCTTCTCCTTCTTCTCCTTCTCAAAGGAAGGGAACTCCTCCTCACTTCTTCTCACATGCCTACGCTTCACAGAAGTCCATCCATCCACTTCTGCTGACACACTCATCTTCCCCATCTTCCCGCACTGCTCACTCTGCGTCTCACACTCCTTCATCTCTTCCTCCAGCTGCTTCACCATCTGCTTCCCCACCTTTCTCTCTCTCCTCTGGGCGCCTCACCAAAATTTAATACAAGCTACCCAGGGGAATGGATAGGATACCCTTCAATTTTTAGCCTGATCCCTTGAAAACTCTAGGCTGGGCAAGTAATCACATGAAAAGAACCCGTGTCATGAAAGACATTTTGTAATATCTCTTTCAATATTAATAGCAGCCGGTTCTATATTTGAATGTAGACTCGTATAATTTGTTAGGAGCAGGATATGAAGTCAGATTGTTGATATCTCTTTCTGGAGTCTTGGAACCTCTGAAAAGCCCGTCAGGACAAATGGAGGAAAATGTACGCTATCACGTGACATGTGTATTTAGCTTAATCAACTGCACTGATCATTGTTATTATTAGGTGCAGTACGTGGAAAAGGGATATGAAAAGAAACCAAATGTCGGGGGGGGTTGCTCCCCCAAATGATATGGAAAATGAAGACGACTTTATATTCATTGCTCCCCCAAATGATATGGAAAATGAAAACGACTTTATATTCAGTGCTCCCCCAATGATATGGAAAATGAAAACGACTTTACATTCAGTGCTCCCCAAAATGATATGGAAAATGAAGACGACTTCACATAAATATGCAGAGCTCCGTAAAATAATATTATAATCATAGAAGACTTCTACAAAATGTTCAGTGCTCTCCAAAATAATATGGTAAATGAAGACGACTTTTCTAAAATAGTGTTTCATGAAAAAAGATTGCACATTTAAGAAAGGTCGTCTTCACTTCACCATTTTATTACTGTATATCTATGAAATGCTGTCATTCTTTACCATTCAATTTTGGGAAGAACTGTTAATTAAATATAAGTCGTCCTTATTTTCCACCTTATTTTGGAGAGCACTGAATATTTATGAAAATCATCATAGATATCTGCCTTTCTTCCATTCTGTCTCTTCTGATTTCTTACTTCCATTTCTCCTTGCTTTCTCTTCTTTCTTCCTCTTCCTTTTTTTCGTTCTTTCATTTTTACTATCTTTCCTTTCATTTTCTCTTTCATTCCTTTCTTCTTCTATTCTCCCTTCCTTCCTCCCCTTTTTTCTTTAATTTCATTCCTATTCTCCAATATCCCTTTGGTCTTTCCTATCTTTCTTTCTTCTATCATTCCTTCCTCCTTCCTTTCTAACATGCTGTAATTCTCGAATAACAACAGCTAAATCTCACAAACTTTAACAAATTAAGTATTTATTTACAGTAAACTTCTACTAATTTGTTCATGTAAGACATTACATTTTCATTACAAAAAGTAGACATAATTAGGATTATTTCATCATATTTCTCATCCTTCAGTTTTTTTCTCTTGGATTGTGGTTCAGAGAACTCTCCTGAAGTTAGTTCACCATGCTTTATTTCGGTGAATTCCACTTCTCTTTTAAATCCTTCCAAGGCAGTATAGATCGTTTGAGGGCCTAGTTGGCATTGATTAAAATTGCCATTGAAGGCCTCAAGGCTGTTGTTAGTAGTGCTGGTGTGTTCGTTCACTACGTGAAACATACAGCACATATCTATGGGAAATACAGGCTGTTTAACTCTTCCATTTCTGGCTTTTATTCCTATATATGTAGCCTCAAAATATGTGAAGGATGACATTTCGTTAAAAACGTTATTAGTTTTGGCATATTCCTTGATAATATCAGTATAAACATCTAGTACAAATCCAGGTGGGACAAACACCAACGTTTTCACTAGCTCAAATGTTTTTTGGGTGTGCTCATTTTGTCTGTAACTAGGATATTTCTTCATAATGTTTTTGAAAAGGTTGGTTTGGAAATGGTAGAGGCATCCTGTCACTTTTACCCCTGGATAAACCTTTCGCAGAGCATTCATGGTGGCCAACTCAAAATCGATAATAACTTGAACTGTTTTTTTTTTCACAATGCTCTGAATAAATTTGAATACATAGCTGTAACTATCTGTTGAATGATCAGGCAGCAGGCAATAAATTGATGGTAAAAAATGTCCCTCAAGTACTCCACCGACTACGTAGATTTGAACAAAGGGGTTCGGACATTTTTAATGAGTCCCATCTGCAGCCCATGTAGAGCAATCTTGAAGGATTTTTAGTCCAGACGAGCTTCCATAAATGTGGATTGCTTCGTTTTTCTTAGTTTGTTGTTCACTGAGTAAAAAATCTTCTTCTCTGTATTTTTTAAACTCCGCTGGAAGTTTGTATAAATCCGCATAAGTTTTGATGGAGGGACCAGTCATTTTCGACGTAATACGTTCTCTGTATATCTGTTTTACCAACGCACTCCTTTTCCCGAGATTTGAAGTGTTTGAACTTTCATCTAGGCGTCTCTGAAACATTCAAAACGTTAAAACAGCTAGTNTGATCAGTAGAACAGGAACAATAGTTAGCCACCCTTCTATAAAGGGAAGACAACGAAGAAAAAAGATTAGTAAAAAAATTAACACCCTGAAGTTCACAAGTTATTTTATGGAAATTATATTTGCTTTACTGATGCTTTAGATAATAACTATAAATATTGTTTACTCTTTTATTTTCCTAAAATGTTTCTTATTATTTATCTATGAAAGACATAGTCAAAAACAACTTAAATAATCTGTCTTCTACATTTATAAATTGTATTTTAGGATTTATTTTAAGATTGAAGAAAGAAAATCGGAGGTCACTCCACAGAGGTTTAAAGTCTCCGTAATCTGACTTCATATCCTCCTCCTAGATAATTAGAACCGGCCACCATCTGTTAAAGAAAGGAAAATATAATGTAAAAAGTTGATTTCTTCATTTTTAAAAAAAGCACTTTTCGGCACCCTGTTTTAACATCAAGAACTTGGATATTTATTTTCATTCATTTTATGGGCTATTGGGAGTTTTCTTTTTTTAAATTGGCTATTTTTGTCCAACGAGGCCGGAGATACAAAATTGGATAATAATATAAATAATATTTTATCTTTTCTTTTACTCCGAAATTTTTATCCAAACTTGTCAATTTTTGCAATTAAAAAAAAAGCAAAAAAAAGCAATTTTTGACACCCTGTTTTGACATCGAAACTTGATAAAAAAAAAAAAATTTTTTTGTGTATTTTAGAGGTCATTGGGAGTATGTATTTAAAAAATGGGCTATTTATGTCCAACGAGGCCGGAGATAAAAAATCAGAGCCGACGGAGGTCACTTTTCAGAGGTTCCAAGACTCCAGAAAGAGATATCAACAATCTGAGTTCATATCCTGCTCCTAACAAATTATACGAGTCTACATTCAAATATAGAACCGGCTGCTATTAATATTGAAAGAGATATTACAAAATGTCTTACTTGACACGGGTTCTTTCCAAAAGTCCAAAAGTTTCGGGCTCCACAAAAAATAATTTTTTTTTTCTTTTTTCAGAGAAGCCTGAAAAGAAAGGAGAAAATGGAAGTATCTCTTCATATATACTGGCATCAAAACCCCTGAGCGAGTCAAGCAACGTGCAGTACTGTCAAGTGTATGATAACATCGTAAATAGCAGTAGAAAAAAATCGTGCTCTGTGAGTTGGGCGCCACTAGCCTTTGGGTTCCAATGTACGACCTGACTTGAAAACTCTACTTCAATCTTTATTAACTCAAAAAGTATTGGATCTGCAGCTTTGAAATTTTAAGTCATAAATCTTGTATTTCCGCGCCAGCATGCAAAGTTTCAAGGCTGTAGCTCAAAAAACTCTAGGCGTGAGCCAAATTGAGCCAAATTGCTTCAAAATGACGTCACAGTCAGTCTAGCTCCTTATCTTGCTCCAACTTTCGGCATTGCTCACACCTAGAGTTTTTGAGCTACAACCTTGAAATTATGCATGCAGGCGCGGAAATACAACAAAATTTATGTCCTAAAATTTCTAAGCTGTAGATCAAATACTTTTTGAGTTCATAATGTTTATAGTTGAGGAGCTAGACTATATGGATTATCAGCTTTGGCGGCTGGGGCGGTCCACTTGAACTACTCGGCGCCTCACCAAATCTTAATACAAGCTAGCTGTGGGAATGGAGAGGGTACCCCCCAAGTTTTAACCTGATCCCTTGAAAGCTCTGGACTGGGCGAGTGCGACATTTGCACAAAACATTCCGAATTTCAGCTTTAGCAGCTGGGGCGCCTCACCAAAGTTTTTAACAAGCTAGCCAGGGGAAAGGAGAGGGTACCCTCCAAGGGTGCTATGGAAACGCCTCAACACGGAAACGTCTCAACACGGAAATGCCTCAAAAAAAAGCGGAAACCCCTCAAAAACCGGTTTTTTTGAGACGTTTCCGCAATTTCTGCAAGAAAAACGGAAATCCCTCAAATCCCAGTTTTTGAGGGGTTTCCTCTTTATTTTGAGGNTCATATTTATATAAATTAGTATATAACAACTTTTTTATTTATTCTTATTTCAATTTTTGTTTTACTTTAAATATGCATTACATACTGATTTTGAAAAGTTAAATACTGTAAAATTAGTAGATTTATTTCAGAATCTTGCGAAACATAAAATGAAGGTAAAATATCAGAATATTAGAGAATACTTGGGGCATATACAGGGTGAGTAAAAAAATGTGATTTGTGGCGCCTGGTGCAAAATTGTACCTTTATTTGTGCAACTCTCCTAAATGGTATTTTTCAATATTTTTTGAAAATTTGTAAATTTTTTTGGTACTCAATGGCCCCCCAAAAAAAATCCGCGAAATTATTTTTCTTTCAAAATCAAAAGTTCAGAAAAACAAAAATGTGTAAATAAATTTTTTGTATCTAAATCTAAAATTTTAAAAAGATTAGATCACAGAATCCCATAAATTTTTCAAAATTGTAATAAGAAAATTCACAATTTCCAATACTGCAACTGGTCTAATTTTTACGGAAAAATTGTTTTTCAATGGTTCTTTAGGTTTAAACTGAACAGCGTATATTAAATATTTTAGAATATATTAAAAATAAAGGAACTAGAGAATTTAAATAACTTTTTCTTAAAGAATAGACCCGAACTAAAAATTGCGAATTTTCTTATCACAATTTTGCGAATTTTTTGTGATTCTGTGATTCAATCTTTTTAAAATTTTAGATTTCAATAGAAATAATTTATATACACATTTTTGTTTTTCTGTACTTTTGATTTTTTTTGGGCCATTGGAGTACTCAAAAAATTACAAATTTTCAAAAAATAATGAAAAAACATCATTCAGGTAGGTAGGTACAATTTTGCACCAGGCGCCACAAATCACACTTTTTTATGATTCACCCTGTATTAAAAAAGAATTTTGCTAAACCATCACGACGATCCTCTGTAGTCTATATTATTAAAAAAATTGTAATTTTTTCATTTGAACTATTTTTTTCTCATTTGAACTATTTTTTATCATTTGAACTATTTTTTCCAATTTATTTGAACTATTTTTTGTTAATTTGAACTATTTTTATGTTCATTTGAAACATTTCTGTGTATATGTTATCTAATTAATTGTATGGTCCCATAACTTCATTATAATTATAAAATATCTTAAAACTGAACTTTGAAATTAATAGTTCAAATGAGCAATTAATATGTTGATTTGAACTATAACAGGATACGACATCATGTCAGTATAGTTCAAATGAACAATAGTTCAAACAAACAATGGTTCAAATGGGAGTAATTCAAATGAGAATTTAGAAATTAATAGTTCAAATGAGCAATTAATGTGTTGATTTGAACTATTTTTTTCAAAAAACGGAAACGCCTCAAAAAAAACGGAAACGCCTCAAAAAAAAGAGGAAACACCTCAACTTGAAATATTAGGAAACGCATCAAAAATATTCGGAAATCCCTCAACATTTTCCAGTTTTGAGGGATTTCCCCAAAAAAAACGGAAATTCCTCAAAACCGGTTTTTGAGGCATTTCCGCGTTGAGACGTTTCCGTGTTGAGGCGTTTCCATAGCACCCCTCCAAGTATTAGCCCGATCCATTGTCAAATCTGGGCTGGGCGAGTGCAATAGTTTTGAGACAGATGCTACCAGTTCTAATCAGTCCAATCCTTTTCTAAACTGTTTAATCCAGTTCTACCCGTTTTATCCAGGTCTATCCTGTTATATCCTGTTCTATCCTATTTTATCCAGTTCTATCATGTTCTATTCTGTTCTATACTGTCTTTCCTATTCTTTGCAGTTCTATTCTGTTATATCCTGTTCTATCATGTTTTATCCTGTTCTATCCAGTTCTATTATGTTCTATTCTGTCTATTCTGTTCTATCCTTTCCAATACTGTTCCTTTCTGTTCTATCCTGTTCTATTTTTTTCGGCTATATTCTGTCCTATTGGTGTGTAACTAGTTCTATCCTGTTCTATCCTGTTCCATTACCTTATATTCTGTTCTTTCCGGTTCTATCCAGTTCTATTCTCTTCTATCATCTTCTATCCTGTTCTACTTGCTTCTATTCAATTCAATTCTTTTCTATACTGTTCTATCCAATTCTATCCTTTATATCCTGTCCTTTTCTGCTTTATTCTGTTTATTCTATTATATTCTGTTCAATCCTGTTCTTTCCAGTCTTTGCATATTACTTTCTGTTCTATCCTGTTCTATACAGTTATATTCTGTTCTATTCTATTCGATTCGATTCTATTCTATTCTATTCTGTTTGATTCTATTCTATATTGTTTGATTCTGTTCTTATGTTATTTTCTTTTCTATTCTACTCTCTCCTGTTCGATTAGGTTCTTTTCCGTACTATAATGTTTTATCTGTTTCTATCCAATTCTATCCTGTTTTATCATGCTCTATCCTTTTCTAAACTGTACATGATTCTCTCTCCTGTTTCATTAGATTTTGATACCGTAAAATGTGTAAAAGGTGTGATAATCTATATTAATTTTAATATGAGAGGTTGCATGAATCTTGATTTTTCAAGAAAAAAATACGAATATTCGGTGTACCCCTAATCGTCGACTTCCAAACCAATTTCTTCAAATTAAGTACAGGAAACTGACATCTTTGGATAACCCTCTTCGGTGCTATGGAAACGCCTCAACACGGAAACGTCTCAACGGGGAAATACCTCAAAAACCGGTTTTCAGGAATTTCCGTTTTTTTGGGAAATCTCTCAAAACGGGAAAATTTTGAGGGATTTCCGAATATTTTTGAGGCGTTTCCTAATATTTAAAGTTGAGGTGTTTCCTCTTTTTATTTTGAGGCGTTTCCGTTTTTTTGAAAAAAGTTTTAAAACTTTATTTTGTTGAGGCGTTTCCTCTTTTTTTTGAGGCGTTTCTGTATGATTTGCGTAGAGACTATAAAACTGTAGTTGATTAAGCAAAATACATACGTCACAATCTAGCGTACATTTTCCTCCATTTGTCCTGACGGGCTGAAAAGTGACCTCCATCGGCTCCGATTTTTTATCTCCGGCCTCGTTGGACATAAATGGCCCATTTTTTAAATATATACTCCCAATGACCTCTAAAATACACAAAAAAAAATTATTTTTTTTATCAAGTTTTGAAGTCAAAACAGGGTGTCGAAAATTGTTTTTTTTTAATTGCAAAAATTGACAAGTTTGGATAAAAAATGTCGGAGTAAAAGAAAAGATAAAATATTATTTATATTATTATCTAACACATTGATGAAAAAAAAAATTCAAAAAATTAATTTTTTCGTGGGCTACAGGGTGTTTATATTATTTTTTTTGACAAATCACCCTTTTTAGGCATTTTTCTCCCTTTTATAGATGGTGGCTGGTTCTAATTTTAAAAATAATGTTATATAATTACCTAGGAGCAGGATATGAAGTCAGATTACCAATATCTCTTCCCGGAGTCTTGGAACCTCTGAAAAGTGCCCTCCGTCGGCTCTGATTTTTTATCTCCGGCCTCGTTGGACAAAAATAGTCCATTTTTTAAATATATACTCCCAATGAACCCTAAAATACACAAAAAATTTTTTTTTTTTTTATCAAGTTTTTGATGTCAAAACAGGATGTCGAAAATTCCTTTTTTTTGATTTTTTTTTAATTGCAAAAAATTACAAGTTCTGATAAAAAATGTTGGAGTAAAAGAAAAGATAAAATATTATTCATATTATTATATAACACATTGATGAAAAAAAAATTAATTTTTTCATGGGCTACAGGGTGTTAATATTTTTTTTCGATACTTTTAAAAATCAAGAAATCAACTTATTACATTATATTTTCCTTTCTTTTACAGATAGTGGCCGGTTCCAATTACCTAGGAGCAGGATATGAAGTCAGATTACGGATATCTCTTCTCGGAGACTTGGAACCTCTAAAAAGTTACCTCTTTCGGTTCCATTACTAACTAGATGGTGTATTAATTACCTAGGTCATTTATTGATAAACCGGATGATTCATTGATAAATTTGATGATGGATTAACAAACCAGATGATTGATAACTTGATGTTAAACTTGATGGCTGTTAAACCAATTAGTTGATTGATAAACCAGTTAATATATTGATTGATTGATAACCCGGATGATTGAT